TCTTAGTTTCACATGTTCACTATCCAAGTCACTTGGGCACCCAAATTGTACTGTCTTTGACCCATATTTTAGCCCCATTTTCAGAATCATTTACCAAGTTCCTCTGAAATTTATCTTCTCTTTTAAATCCACCTCTTTTTAAAATTCTGTTTCATCCATTAGTTCATAGCCTAATTAGCTCATGCTCTAAATGTCCCTTAAATACTCTTTCAGCTGTCAGCTTTCCTCCCAAACTCAAGACCTGAGTCTTAGAATCAGAATATTCAAGCCCAGTCTTCGCCAGATGTGTAACCATGAGAAATCATTCTTCCTCTCTGGATCGGTTTCCTGTTTGCTGCATAACAGATTCTTACCAGCTTAGTGTCCTCAAGCAATATGCACTGATTTCACAATTTCTATGGATTAAGAGTTCAGATAGGGCATAGCCTGGTCCTCTTCTCAATGTCACTAAGTTGGTGTCATGGTGCTGGCGGGGGCTGTGATTCCCGTAAGTTTTAGTATCCCCTACAAACTCAGATGGTTGGCAAATGTATTTCCTTGAGCCTACATATTCAAGGCCCTCATATTCGCACTAGCTGTCACTAAGGAACAGCTTTCAGCTCCCAGAGGTCACCCACAGTTCTTCATTACATGGCCCCTAAAGATAGTTCACACAATAGCTATTTGCTTATTTCCAGGCCAGGAGGAGAATGTCTCTCTGGCTCTTCAATCTTTTATAAAGACCTCACCTCATTATGTCAGGCTTCCCTTGACAATCTAACCTCTGACAAACTCAAAAGGGATCCATAATTATATCTGTAAAATCCCTTTTGCCATGTAAGGTAACATGATTAAGGCGGTGATGTCACACCTAGTCACAAGTTCCTCTTACACTCCAGGGGAAAAGATTGTTTTAAAAAATGTGGCTCATTAAGGGTTATCATCAAATTATACCTAACATATTCCTGGAAAAACTAGTTAGCTGGAAAAGAAAATCTTAAGATTTTATGATAACTGCTCATACTATAAATTACTAAACTTATACACAGAATGGAAAGTTTATATAAGTTCTCAGGATGCTGATACATTTAGGAAGGCAATACACATCTTTTCCCCACATTTAATGGCAAATATCCAGACTTCCTTGCTACACAGAAGATTAAAAGCTGCACTGAAACCCCCTGCCGTTTTGAATACAGAGCTGCCCAGAGGCACCAAAGGGATTTCTGAATCAGATTCATGGGGAGGGAAAAACAGAGTTAGATGAAAATTATGACTGTTCACTCCACTGTTTAAAACAAACAGAAGAAAATGTCTCACCACTGCCTACAGAATAAATTCCAACCCCTTAATCTGAGTAAAAGACCTTCCATGACTTAACTGGCCCCTGCCTTTGCATTCACCTCCCATGTCCACGTCACTCAGAAAGTTTCATAGTTCCTTCAAATGATCACATGCTTTTACTCTGTGTAAGCATGTGGTTCCTTTTTTAAGTATGTTCTACCACCTACTTTTACCCACAACCCATATGATGAATTTCATTCATTGTTTAATACACTTACTCACTTAACAAATCTTTACTGAGGACCTAAATTCATCAATAATTCTTGTCTTCACCTGTCCCACAAAACAGGTCTCATCTCTGCTTCTTCCTTGGCACAAAAACTGTAGCCAGTTCCTACATCTATTACTAGACCTGCTAGATCTTATGTTCGTATGTCCACCCCCAAATGTGAGTATCTTAAAGGAATAATTCTATTGTGTTTATATTTCTAGGACTAATTCAGGGATTGTTACAGCTCATCAATCATGCTCAAGATAACAATAATAATGAGAATAATATCTAAATGTATTCAGTGATTCCTTGTACTATGAAAACACTTTATACATATTGGCTTATATGAAATCCTTGCAACAGCACTTTGAAGCAAGCTTTATAATCGTCATTTAGCAGATAAAAAAATCAATATTCAGAAACAGAGACAAGGCTTTTACAGAAGTTACTGATATTTCGCAATGTTTTATTCTCTTGAGCAATGTCGTCCCCAAACAGAAGCATCATTATTACCCCCACATTTAACACACTACTAAAAACAGAAGTTCTCAGGTTCCCACCCAGACCTGCTCAATCAGAAAACCAGGGCTCAGGGCCCTATAATCTGAGATTTAACAGGCCCTGGAGGTGATGATGATGATGGCTAAAGTTTGAGAACCACTGCTCTATAATCTAATAAATATCCTGGTCAAGAAACTGTAATCGGCTAGAACTTTGAAACAATGTTCCCCCAGAAACTTGGTAATTCAATTCAAATGTTAGATAGAAATGGACAAAATATTGTACAGAAAAAATAATTCATCCTGAAATCAGAAGTCACTTTGAAGGCCCATCCCTCCATCCATCCTAGAGTCTGAAACTTAACACAGTGTCAATATGCTGACTGGTCAATACTTAGTTAAAACATACGGAAAATAATCCTTCCCCTTACCATAATAGCTACTTTGGGATTTACATAATAGTATACATTCCTCTTTATAGGAAAATATTCCTCATAGCTAGTTCTATTACCCCAAAGTCATCTTAAGTATCTCCAGGTCAAGGTTCCTCTTTTTTCATTCGGATATTCACTCATGCCCCATAGAATGCTGTGCACTTGGAACACATTTTAACAATTTCTTATTGAATTGAATTTAGCTGGATTTGATTAGCCTATGTTTTTCCATTGCTTTATACTAGGGATTGTCTTTTTAAAAAGTGTCATGATATTACAGCAAAAACTGTTCAATGATAATAGGAAAACAAAGTTTGATTTCGGAAAAGACAAGAGTGCAAGATAAGGATGGAGCACTGCCTTCAGGGAGGAGAGTCGGCTGAGGGATTTTGGAGTGAACTTCTACCTGGCGTATCTAGAGAACAGCCATAGAAACGAAGATGCATTCTGCAGAGAGTACTGCAAACATAATAGGAGCATATACACCTATAAAAAACAGTTTAGAGCACTCAGGAATTTCACCAGCTAGTTGTGAAGACAAACTATGTAAACATGTAAAAGAAGAGCTGTAAATAGATAAAAAGCTATGAATGCAAGTGTAGGAATAATAAATGCTCTATTGATAGTCATGCATTAAAGAGCATAGAAAAGAAAAGCTTCACTAATTCTGAAAAGAGTACAGAACCTTATGCTCATTCTGTACATGATTTTGTTTTGATTTTTGGTCTAGTCCTGAATCAGATGATTTTAAAGTACACTGTTTATAAGATCCAAAGTATATATTTTTATATATAAACAAAAATCCCTCCATTTAGTTTAAGAACAACTCTAGCATTCAGAGCAGAAGCCAAATTTGTCAAAAAGTAAGATATTTTATAAAACTATTTTTATGAAAACATTATATGTTTCCCATAAGGCTACCATATAAAAAACAATCAATCAGTATTAATGACTAGTATGTTAGTCTCTGACCTCTCTGAGGACATATTTACACGAACCACAAATAAAATGGTAAGAAATTAAGAACTAACTATGTCAGAATTCAGAAAGGGTTGCATGTACATGCAGTAATAAAACAATTTAACTGAAGGAGAGTATTTAAAAAGGAAGAATATTCTAGTATAAACCAAGCCCTTCAAACAGAAAAACATCTGATACAAGAATTCACTGCCTGGAGCTTTTTTATAGGCCAAGGAAATCGGATTTTAAACTTATCCTACAGGTTAAGGCTTTCAATCAGAAGTGCTTAAGCAGAAAAAGTGACTGGCTCAGATCCTTGTCATAGTAAGATAAGTTTGGAAGCGATGTACTGGGTCCATTTAAAAAAGCTCTAACCAAGGCCAGACATTTACTGCACATAACTAAACAAACATATCCTAAAGGCAGAATTAGAATGGATGTTCCTGAGCCCTGGCAGAACATAAGAGAAAGTTTAACTTAGCATAGCAATGTGTCTAACTTGTGTCTTGGGTGCTTTAATTGCTCCAAATTTAGTCCAATAAAGTGAATTTATTACAGGTTCTGAAACAAAGATAGTGATTAGAGATAAATTACAAATAGGTTCCTGATTTGAGAAGAAATTTACAGAGCGAGGGTAATTAAAATAGAAAAGACACAGAATTATTATACTGATTATTAACCCATGACTTCTTAGTAATATAGGCAACTCTATCTGTTAGGTCTACATGCCCATTAGTACAACACTTGAATTATAAGTTAAAATAATCAGAAGGGTTTGCATAAACCTATCTCCTAGAAGGTTACCTTGAGATTGATACATAATTACTATATATATAGGAAACATTTTTAACAATCACAATAAATTATTCTTATACTTGGATTTTAATGTACCCGTGATATCAGCTCCAAGATATTTGCATGTGTAATATAAAAAAAATTATTAACCTCATTAGCCATCTCCCCTATAAACTTAATCCCCCTAAAATGCATATTTCTGTGTGTGTATGTAAGTTTAGGTGCATGAAGAGCAGAATTATGCTTAATATTTAAACTTCTGTGCATTTTTACTGAGACAAGCACTTTTTTTGTCCTCCGTGAGAACCACTAAAAATCAGATTTATTGATGTTTAGCTATTTTATTCTCAGAACTTTGTATTTCCAGAAACCAACAAATTGAAGAAATATTCATGGAGTTTCTCTGTCTATAATCCATATGCTATAGAATATGAGTGTGGAAATTAATCATATCTACCATGTACTTACTGCTTGTTATTGTCAAGCACAAATCTATGTATTTTAATATATTTTTAATATATTAACACATTTATTCCTCCAACTATCTAATTGGATATATATTATTGTAAAATCTGCTTTACATAAAAGTGGGGCACACACAGATTTTATTAATATACCTTATAAAATTTCCTAATTTAAGATAAGTCTGGTTCAAATTACACTTAATCAGAAAGTGACTGTGGTATGAAAAAGAAAATACAGGATGCCCTGGATCTAACACTTCACATTAGTTTCAGCACATTAATTTTGATTTGGAGATCTTTTCCCATTCCTCACCTTTAATCTCTTTGTCATTTTTGAACCATCTTATATCAGCTGCAGGTTTACTACCAGATGTTTTACAAGTCAGCTGCATCAAGTCTCCCTCCATAACTGGTGATGAAAATCCACTAATCTGAGGCTTCTCAGGAACACCTAAAATTTAAGCAATAAATGAAATAAACATCAATTACCAGGGTTGATTTGTTCTTATGACTATTATTTTCACAAACTAAACTGGGTGTTTAATGGACAATAACTTCAATCAAGAATAATACACTGCTATATAATAAAATACTTAAAATATATAAAAATATATATATGTGTGTATATATATATACACACATAGACACACACATATTTATATGTGTCTGTATATATGCATATTTGTATTTATTATTCTGAAAACATAAAGTGCATTTAGTTCAAAGTCTTTTTTTTTAATTGAATTTTACCTGCAAAAATACTCTTTGTAAATCTTAAAAGCAACCATTCAATATATCTTAAGATTTACCAGTATGGGGATTTAAGAAGGTAGATTGCTTGCATTGGGAAGAAAACTCTGCAAAGGACATTTCTTTATTCTTTAGTAAATTGTGATTTATCTAAAATAGCATCTTTCATTCCTGATTTCATAATTCTTAAAGCTGAAAAACATATTATCTTCTGTGTACTTTGTTCTAGAAAATGCATTTTGGAATAAGGGATTCATCAATAATTGCAACTATTCTCCTGATTTCCTGATTCTTCTGAAGTAGAGGATGTCTCTTGGTATCATTTGTATTAGAAATGCAGTTGTAGTTTTGTGGAGCACAATATATATTATTTTTAATGCTAGCCACTTAGTACCTTCTTGAGTCCAAATCATCCAATGAATAAGCAGATAACTAATACACAGATCCAGTATGTGAGTGATTGAAATAAAGAACACTACACATTTTGGGAGTGCAACCATTTTCTGTTGTCATGACAGAGGTTTATTAAAATTTCTTCTAAAAGTATTCAGTCATAAAGGCAGGCTGAAAGCTTCTTGTACTATTTAATTCAGTTTGAAAAGCATCAAATGTAAGAATACTGGACAGCAGCAATGTAAGAAATACAAACTAAAACAACAAGAACAAAGATAAATGACAGATCAACATTTTCCGATTAGCTGACTAGTTTTTTTTTCTGAATACCTTCATATTGCCTTTAAAAAAATTATGTCACACCACTATTTACTAAACTGAAATTAGCCATTTGTCTATCCTTGGGGTCTCAAGGTAGCTCCTCTACAGAGCAATACATTAACCTTAGGCAATTGTTATCCTGAAATACTCCCTTTAGTGGGTATATATTGTCCTTAATGGCAGACTTGAGAAGATTTTTATAAAAATAGTCCCAGTGGGACTTGCAAAGAGACATATTTCACATCCTATGCACAAAACCAATTCACTAGCAGGATTAAGTTTAATATTCTCACCCAAAAGAATAGCATGCACCAGCTCATTTAAATGCAGTGTTCTGCCTTTATCTATCAAAAAAGGAAGGAGAGCTAGGGGAAAAAAAATCAATCTTTAAATTCCTCTAACTTGTTCAGTACACAGGTGTGTTTCAATGAACTACGGCAATTTCAGCTGATTGGGCCACTGACGTCTGTGGAATCACAGAGAGCTCTGTCTGAGCTGCAGCTTGATTGCCTTGGAATCTCTATGAATGTATTGCTCTTTGGTGTCACTATAACCTTTAGAAAAATCGTCCAATATTTAGAGAATAAAAACAAAAAGAAGCTACAAGATGCATGCATAAGTGACATTATGCACTTCACTTAGAAATCTAGAAAACTACAAAGTCAAAAGGCAAGAAGATATGTAGAAATGTCAGGGTCCTTTAAAGACACTGAAATACACAAAGGGGTCATATCCAGCAGCCAAAAGATATTAGGGAAGACCCTCATTGGTAACTGATGAGAAAATGGAGGCATACCCTATAGACACGTTGAATTCAGTATGCTCACTATTCTATCACTTTACACAAGGGTCACCATATATACATTATATAGATGAGCTGACACAAAGGAATTTAGTTGAAAATCAAGAAACGTGGTGTCTGTTGCTGGCCAGGAAACAAAATGGCTGTGTTCTCCAGAAGTCATATAAATCTTTACACCTCTCTTTATTTATAAAATGGAAAAGTGACTAAGTGACTTTTTAAAATGCCTTCGGATGATCCTCAAAGTGTATATTTGTTATTGATTCATGTTGTTGTTGTTGTACACACCTCTCTGGCTTGTGATTACATAGTGTTAGTCCCTTGCACTTACCCAGAACAGTGAGATAGGCCTTGGAAGTTTTGACAGGCATTGTAAATAAAGAACAGGTGTATTGTCCTTCATCAGAGAGAGAAACATCACTGACGCTGATACTCAGTTCATGCCAGGAAGCCCGAACCAGCTCGATCCTATTGTCCCTTAAAGCTAGAAAAATAAAATATTGGAAATACGAACAACATTAGGCAACGTCAGTACTGTTAGGTTACATATTTTTAGCATATCACAATAAATATTTTCTTTGGCTTTATGTCTAGATCTAATTTCCTGAAATATTTTAAAGGAAGGTTTAAATATATTGAACTACTTTATCAGATTTGTGTAACCAAAGTAGAATTAAATGTTCCTTAATGTTCTCAGAAATAACTTTTTAATTAAATGATTCCATCTAGTAAGTAAAACACTTTGGATGAGGTAGATGTTGATAGTGATAAAAATGGCTTTTCTCCACAAAGTCTTTCACTGGTTACCAGTGCCAAGAAAACTGTAAACAAAAGGGTTCACTTTTATGCACAAATACATTTGGAAAACTATGACTGCTTCACGACCTCTAAAAGACCAACAATGAACCTTAGGATTTTGAAAGTTCTCTGCAGTAGAGATACCTGTTAAACTTTTTTTTCTTTTTATTAAGAGCTGACTTTCAGCTGAAAAACACAAGTCAGGTACCTGATGTTTAAATTTGCTCTGATTGGTTGTTTCCTCTGCTGTACCTGTCTGTTAAATACTTTTATATGCTTTGGTTCAAACCACCTTTTCTATCACAGAAGACTTTTTTCACTGAAGATCTCTTAGCTTCTTGCTAATTTATGCTCCTTTTGACTCATTTTGGGGAAAATATTAAAAAGTTTAAATATCATTTTATGCCTCATTAAGTGTAGTTATAAAACCTGGAATTAAGCAAGAAGTGACCAAAGGAGTACTCTGAAAGGTAGAAAGAGGAAAGAGGACTGGTTAGGGATACCAGGACCTGAGGAACAATACAGTGGCTCCCCAGCCAACTGTAGAAGGCAACTGAGGCATGGCTTCTCCTAACCAGAACCTAGCAACAGAAAGTGGCCTAGGTAGACCCATTTTTTATCGCAGATCAAATGGGATTCTTACCAGGAACTTCAGGAGACACTGGGATGCCCAAAAGGGTAATCAAGTTAGCACATCACTGCCAAGTGCCATGTAAAACAATCTCCTTCCCCACTGGGCTGGAGACTCCCCTGCCCTCCTGAGAGGCAATGGTCAATTGGGCAGCATGGACGGTGGGTCAGTCCTGCTATAATTACTCAGCTCTTGAAATGATCTTCAGTGAGCCAAAGAACCACTTATCCCAACTACAACATCAGGAAATATGGCCTGAGAAGTTCCTCTGCCTTCTTAGGTGGCACCAGTAGAGATGAATGCAACTCCCCATGGAACCAGACAACTCAAAGTGTCTGATTAGCACCACAAAGGCTCTGAAGATTAAGTTGTTGGTATAGTCTTGGTGTACAAATGTAAGCCAAGATCTGTGTGCTAAACCTAAACAAAATGATTGCCTTCTAGAACAGAAGATGTAAATAGGACAGAGTCTCCTAACACAATAGCCAAAT